TTTCTCGAGTTGCGGAACCATGCTTTCTTGAGCATCTTCTGTGAGGAATAGGTTGGGGTAGATGAAAGCTATTATGTTTGTTACAAAATGCTACGCTAGAAAGCAGTGAAGATCTTTCGAGTGTTTTGGTTCGGGAATGCAGTTATGAGGGATTGAAAAAGCTATGAAATAATCATAAGAGGTATCCACCAGATCAAATTCGTAGATCTGCTGTCCGCGGGAGACTGTATGTGTGATAGATGGTGGTGTCGTGGCTTAGAATCCTAGCTCTCCCATCCATTAAACGGACACGCGGTGAAGAGTTCGTCTACTGGATTTGTAGGGTGGAAGTAATCCACGCTGTCTAAATATTTAGAGCGATGTTTCATCATTAACCTAGTGTGACTAGCGAGGTCATTGAGGACCCTGTCTCAGATGACTTTTCACGAGAGACTCGGTCCTGAGTCGAACTCAACCCTATCTAGGATCGGGTCGCGAATAGGGCTAAGGGCCGTGTATTGCAGAATAACCGGAGCTGGAACCAGTTGATCTTGATGCGTACCGCTGAGAGTTAGAGGGTGTGAAAACTGTGATAGTGGATCGCAGTTAAGAAGTCGAATCTGAGAATTCGAATGTGGAGCAACACGAACTTTTTAGCTGCTACTTTTCCGGCATGGTCTAGCTATGAGACCCATGGTGATTCGATCATGAGCGATGTTCAGAATTTGTCCGGGATGCCAAGAGAGGGGTTCGATTACAGCTTCCAGCATGATTCCTACAAGGCTTTTTTACAAGGGACGCGGATTCTGATGCCTTGATTCAGTCGTGTTTGCTGAACTTCCCATATGGCGTCGGAAGTATGAAGGATTTCAGACTCATGGAGGACGGATGTTGGAGGAACTGGACGAACACAGAAGACTTCCTGGCGCACTTTTGTCAGCTGTCCCAACCGGAATTTCATTCACCTATGTTCCAGTTGGTTGTGTATAGTATTGGGACAAAAATCCGACTTTTCAAGAGAGCCCGACTTCAGTTGAAGGGGAAGTTTTCTGCAAAGGCAATTGCGGAAGGTCTAGATGGAGATGACGTGTCTAGGGCTATATCAAGTCGAAGAGCAGGGAATTATCAAGCCGGGTCTACTTCAAGCAAGTGCATACTGAATGCCGTAAATGCTATCAGCAAAGCACTGCCCGCCCCACACAAATGAAGCAGCCAAGTTGGCTAGAGGTACCGCTGAATCAATGAACCACTACTTTGGCACGGGTACTGTATTCTTGACAGTGAGCTTTGATGACGAAAACAGTGTGCTAATGGAAGTACTAAGCGGGAAAGAAGTGGAAGGGCCTGACGGTGATTGGGAAGATGCAAGCGAGGAGATTCTTCAAGAACGAAGCAAAGAACGGAGACAGCTTCGGTTAGATTTTCCAGCACTAGGAGCACTCCATTTCGATATGTTGTTCGACATTCTATGTGAAGAAGTTATAGGATGGGACCGCCATAACAACTGTGCTACAGAAGAGCCGGGACTTTTTGGGGAAGTGTTGGCGATGGCAGCAGCATTTGAAGAACAAGGCCGAAAGTCAGTGCACACCCATCTTACAGTTTGGATCAAGAATTTCTTTAAGCTGCAAGAAGGTGTTTTGTGCGCAGCGAGATCGCAACGGAAAGAGATGTCCGACAAGTGCCTTTCAAGATACCACGAATGGATGGCTACCACAGAGATGTTCCCCACAGATACCAGAACCCTCCTGGATCTTTCTGATCATGCTTGTAAAGTGTCCAAGAGTTTTTGGGATCCCCCTGTGGTTGTGTCGGACTAGCTACTCCGGTACCTAAGACATAAGAAGGGGTACAACGCTGTATCGGGAAAGTTTGCATACTGTGATCACTGCGGATTCGAATTTACTTATGAGGATCTGTTGACTGGGTATTTACGACAGTGTGAAGGAATGAATGGATCAGGAACCACCGGTGATGAGGGGAACATAGTGCCAAAACCCAGAATGCAGGCTCGTGTTGTGGATTTCCAGAAGAGTATCGGGGCAACAGTACCAGAAACACCTACAGTGATTATTAATGCTCTCTATCAACATCATACTTCTTGTCATGTCAAAGGATGCTTCAAGTGCAACAAGCTGGGTCGAGCGCATACATGTGGACCAGCCGCGAATGTCGATACAGGCTTCCTGACAGGCCTCGGTCGGAATCAAGGGTGGTTGCAGTGAATACAGAAACCAAGTGGTTTGATTGGACCGGAGGTTCCCGGAAACAGCCTATAGTGGAATTCCAACCGAAAAGGAATGCGTATGATCTGTTCCAGAATCAGTCGTGCAAGGCTATTTCAGAGTCCAAGTTTGCATGCAACAGCAACGTATCTCTTATTACGGTTGGACCCTTGTCCATGTACCAGATGAAGTACCAACACAAGTCTACGCAGCAAGACGACACGGCCGAGTATGCTACTGTTGAGCGTGCTATTAAGTCCCTAAACGGAAGAGTGTATGAAGACGATGACAAGGAGGCTCTTCGTCGGATCTGCCGTGCAGCTTTTGCCCATAACAAGTCAAATATCATTGGTCCATCATTGGCCTCATTCATTACGCGGAACAAATCAAGGTTCTACTTTTCGCATCGCTTTCTCTACTGTCCGATCAAAGATGTAATGTTGCTGTTGAACAAACAAGAAGTGTCATCAGAACTACGATATTCACCAACAGGTCAGGCTTATCTTGAGAACCAGGCGCTCCACTATCTGTGTCGAAACAAAGATCTAGAGAATGTGTCAGTGAAGCGGTTTTACGAGCTTTACGAGGAACGACCAATGAAGAGTGTCCACAGGCGGAAGCGTCAGCGAACTGATGAGGAGAAATGGCCTTTTATGGCTGACACTGGGCATTTCGTGCATCCATCAGCGATCAAAGGAAACGACGGGGTGTTAACTGGTGAAACTTCAGCGGGAGTAATTTTGAGGAAAGAAGAAGCATTGGTTCGGGTTCCACAATGGGCCTTCTCAGATGCAGGCGGTTTTGGTGCGAATATCCTGACGTGTCCTACTGGCGAACTGAACCAGGCAATGGATACTTATGCGGAAGTGCTGTTGGCTTTGTACTTGCCGCATCGATGTTTGGCTGATTTAAAGAAGTCCGTACCCCAGACCAACTATGCTTTCGCTGAAAGACTTCGTGAAGTGTATGAATACGATGTTCTGAGAAAAGCGAATAACGAAGAACCCGTCGTCTTCTCAGAAAGGAACCTGTCATTCATCCAGAACATTCAAGACACCGCTTTCAACAACCCGAGGTATAAGGTGAAAGAGGATGATCTTCAACGAGTTACCAAGCCCTATAGACCGGAACATTGGGAGGAGAACATGTACGAAAACGAATCTGATGATGAGCACGAACATGAGGAAGATGATCTGATTCAAAAGGTTTACGAAGATTGGATACGTGATCTTGAGAGCCAGGGCACAACAGATTCAAACCGGGACTTTCTGGCAAGCACATTTGATGGTCTTAGTTTTACGGCTATACGTCACAATGGAAGCGACAACGCAGGATACAACGTGCAGTTACCCATTCCTGAGAATTCGTTAGACGAAAACGAATTTGTTACCATAAGTGTTGACTTTCACACGACCGGCACTACGGTTTGAATCTGTTGTGCCCTGGCTCTCAGATCACGTATCCAATCTTGTAAACCTTTTGAATCAGATCATCTTCCTCATGTTCGTGCTCATCATCAGATTCGTTTTCGTACATGTTCTCCTCCCAATTTTCCGGTCTATAGGCTTAGTGACTCGTTGAAGATCATCCTCTTCACCTTATACCTCGGGTGTTGAAAGCGGTGTCTTGAATGTTCTGGATGAATGACAGGTTCCTTTCTGAGAAGACGACGGGTTCTTCGTTATTCGCTTTTCTCAGAAATCGTATTCATACACTTCACGAAGTTTTCAGCGAAAGCAAGTTGGTCTGGGGTACGGACTTCTTTAAATCAGCCAAACATCGATGCGGCAAGTACAAACCAACAAGCACTTCCGCATAAGTATCCATTGCCTGGTTCAGTTCGCAGTAGGACACGTCAGGATTTCGCACCAAAACCGCCTGCATCTGAGAAGGCCCATTGTGAACCCGAACCAAGCTTCTTCTTTCCTCAAAATTACTCCGCTGAAGTTTCACCAGTTAACCCCCGCGTTTCCTTTGATCGCTGATGGATGCACGAAATGCCCAGTGTCAGCCATAAAAGGCCATTTCTCCTCATCAGTTCGCTGACGCTTCGCCTGTGGACACTCTTCATTGGTCGTCCTCGTAAAGCTCGTAAAACCGCTTCACGACACATTCTCTAGATCTTTGTTTCGACACAGATAGTGGAGCGCTGGTTCTCAAGATAAGCCTGACTGTTGGTGAATATCGTAGTTCTGATGACACTTCTTGTTTGTTCAACAGCAACATTACATCTTTGATCGGACAGTAGAGAAAGCGATGCGAAAAGTAGAACCTTGATTTGTTCCGCGAATGAATGAGGCAATGATGGACCAATGATATTTGACTTGTTATGGGCAAAAGCTGCACGGCAGATCCGACGAAGAGCCTCCTTGTCATCGTCTTCATACACTCTTCCGTTTAGGACTTAATAGCACGCTCAACAGTAGCATAACTCGGCCGTGTCGTCTTGCTGCTAGACTTGTGTTGGTACTTCATCTGATACATGGACAAGGGTCCAACCGTAATAAGGATACGTTGCTGTTGCATGCAAACTTGGACTCTGAAATAGCCTTGCACGACTGATTCTGGAACAGATCATACGCATTCCTTTTCGGTTGGAATTCCACTATAGGCTGTTTCCGGGAACCTCCGGTCCAATCAAACCACTTGGTTTCTGTATTCACTGCAACCACCCTTGATTCCGACCGAGGCCTGTCAGGAAGCTGTATCGACATTCGCACTTTGGGCTGGTCCACAGTATGCGCTCGACCCAGCTTGTTGCACTTGAAGCATCCTTTGACATGACAAGAAGTATATGTTGATAGAGAGCATTAATAATCACTGTAGGTGTTTCAGATACTGTTGCCCCGATACTCTTCTGGAAATCCACAACACAAGCCTGCATTCTGGGTTTTGGCATATGTTCCCCTCATCACCGGTGGTTCCTGATCCATTCAT